ATTAAAATGAAATTATGAATGCTGAATGTAAGAATTTTGAAAATATTCTGCATTACTTGTTGAGGGAGGTTTAATAAAACTAGATAGTGAGTAGAGAGATGTTTCAAAATGCTCATACACTTTTATTTTAAAAAGCAGTTCAGTCACAAAATCTTGATATTAAATATTTTCTGATGTACCTGACATAAAAATAATGAGCAGAGAAATCCATGAGCTGGATTGTAAATTAAATGCCAAATGACACACTGAAATGACTCCGTATTTTATTGTGACTTTAGAAAATTCCAGAGAGCAAAGGTTTATCTCTTCACAACAAAGGGGTTGTGATACTAAGGCAGAGTCCCCAGGGGCTAAAATGTTCACGTTTTTCCCCCTGCAAAAGGTCCCCAGAGGGAGACCATCCAAGAAAAATTATATAAACTTGGACTACATCTTTTGGTTTTATTTTTTTAAAAAAAGTAGTGCTAACTAAGAAATGACAGATGTGGCATTTTTAGGCTTTGTATCTAGGCTGTTCATTATCTTAGCTTCTCCTCCCCAAGTCTGTGCTAATGTGCTTTTCTTTCCCCAGGGAGATAAAGAAGCTGAATTAGGGCTTCCATTTTCCCCACTTTGTGATCGGAAGTCAACCATGGTGGCCCAGTCACAAATAGGTAATACTGAAGATTGGTGGTGGTGAAAGTGGGTGTGTACATGTCAGTTTTCAAATTTATACACCATACTGTTCAAAGAGGTAACTTTCATGCAAACCTCACTCCTTATTCATGAGAAATTTGATCTTCGGACTGATGGTGCTGAATGATAAGAATTATTGGAACGTTTTCACAAAATGGATTCAGTAAAGCAGCATTAGTATTAATAAATGTAATTGTTTTTCAGGTTGTAATCCTTTTATAAAATAGAAGACTTTCTTTTTGTGCAGGAGATTGTGTTTGTTGTTGTTTTGTTGCTGATTATCTTTTCTGCAACTTAATCCTTTAGATAGAGGACAATTCAACAAAAATATTAGTGTGTGTGTTCTGTTATCACAAAGTTTCCATAGTATGCTTCATATAGTATCTCATGTTCATTTGGGAAAAAAATTTCATCCTATGAATAGATAAACCAACAACAGGAAATTTGCAAAATAATATTACTCCCGGCCACATTTATTCTTACCATATGTATTTATGTTGAGAACTTCAAGTCCAATCCATTATTAAAACGTATTACTGCTATGTCACATGGTTCAAATATTTGTAATAGTTACTCCACAAGCCAGCATCTTCATTACCGAACTACATGATCAATAAACATGAGGATCACCACCTTACCTCTGTAGTTGTGTTCCAGTACCACCTACCACAAAGCTGCAGGGTAGTCGGCGGTCAGAAAGCTGCTGCTTCTGACCTTTCCCCCTTCCCATCCAAGTTCCGACAGCTGTTTTTCTAGCAACCATAACACAGGTACCTATTACTGCTTAGTAAGTATGAATGTGGCAGGCTGAGGACCTGATGTGGCAAGCTGAGAGGGATGGAAGTTTCTGAGGCTTGTTGCTGTAACATCAATGGCTGCCATGTTAGTAGAGGTGATGCTTCAGTTAACAGTCTGCATATCCCAGGCATTTAAAACCACAAACAATTTAAAGTAACACCCTGGATGGCCAATTAACATTGCTTTGACTTGAAGACATCAATTAAAAAACAAAACTATTGAAGTTTTGTTGAATTAAGAATGTGCCTTATTATAAGTAATCCAGTTACTTCAAAGGAGAAGTACTTTTATCCAAGCTTATGGAGGATAACATTCAAATGTGGATATTTCCCAGGACACTGTGCCTTAACAAGCCTCCCTCCAGCTATGCTCTTACATTCAGGGGTACTCCATGGCTCCCAGATGTGTTTCCAACAACCACCACACCTCCCCTGGGTCCTGGGGCTGTTGCCGCATACCCAGAGCTTAGAATAGATTGTTGTCTCCCTCTCTACCTAAACACTGGATGGTTAATGCTCCCAGAGGACAATGCCCGTTCTCTCTGTGTGTGTCATTTTCTATCTTGATGAGTGCTTTAAATGTAAAAGTCTTCATTCAATCATGACATCTCAAAGTGGTAGGGATGAATGCTGTCTCCCAGAGATGTTACTGTTCTTTTCTCTGATTTGACAGAACACGCCTACACTCTGTGAACTAACACTTTACATCCTGAGAATAATAAACAGCAATTTGAAATATTAGCACACCGGCAGAAAGCACTAGCTGAGACAGTAAGAAAAAAAAAAAGTGGTTGACTTCCTGAGAACCACTGAGCAAAAAACTTAAATTATTTAGTTTCTTTGGAGCTTCGATATTATTTCTTGTTGGTCAATAATAAAATCCAAAATGCCCATGAAGACCTTTCAGAAAGGGTAATGATCCCTCTCATTGAAAGAGGAAAATATAGACTCTCATTAGATCTGACTTTATCGTTAGCAGCCGTGTATAACGCCGAGCATATGAGGCTGAATGTTAAATGGAAATGCCAATATACTTGAGCTAGCTAGCTTAAATTGTATCACTTCCACTGCTCTGGAGATTATTTTTAGCACAGTTAAACTATCTCTAAAGATTGTTGTTGTTAGATTAAAATAATATCAAAGGGTAAACAGAGCCAATATTGTAGTTGATGTTTGCTATCCCAGGAGTGTCAGAGAGGCCCTCCATTATTACTGATTTTAGAATTCAGGAAATTATAGCGCTTGAATTTATGGGATGTTTTGTTTAGTTTAGTTTTGTTTTGTTTTTTGCTTTTGTAGGTTTCATTGATTTCATAGTAGAGCCAACATTTTCTCTTCTGACAGACTCAACAGAGAAAATTGTTATTCCTCTTATAGAGGAAGCTTCAAAAGCCGAAACTTCCCCCTATGTGGCAAGCAGGTACGATATTTTCTTTTTTTGTATCATTGTTCATCTTTGTGATGTTTAATAACCTTTTACTAAATTATCCTTATTTCTCACATCTGGGCAGCGCATTCTTACAAGAATTATTAGGTAGTATTGCCACCTAGTGGCTTTGTGTTTTATTGTATCTACCTTTAAAATTGAGAACTGAAGTCTACTGCAAAATGATACCAAAGTACTAAGGAGTGTGCTAAGGAGAGTCCCCGCCCCCATGGGAGGGGAAAGAAGGGAGGTGAGCAGCTGCCATGTGCTCAAAACTGTGCCTGCGCATCTGCTATCCTGGTTCTCCAATCAGCTTTGTAAAGTTTTTCAGGTTTTCCTCCTTCATCCTGTATCCTGATGTTGATATTTTTTGGTTTCTTTGGCTGTTATTGTTAGCTCAACCACCATTGTGGGGTTACACACTGCTGATGTGCTAAGACGATCAAGTGCCAAAGGCTCCACGAATGATGGGTCCTTTTTCCCAGACTACTCCCTTGCAGCAGTGGACCTGAAGAGCTTCAAAAACAACCTGGTGGACATCATTCAGCAGAACAAAGAGAGGTGGAAAGAGTTGGCTTCACAAGGTATAGTTGTTTAGGAAGACTTCCTGCCATCTCCCTCTGTCTTAACTTCTCCTCCAATATTTTAAATTTTTCCCCTAAATTAATTTTTCTGTAAAATATGTGAGCCTTGGTGGTGTTTGGAGTTTGGCTACCATGAGAAAGTTGGATTCTGCTCTGCTTATGCCACATGAGCTGCAGCCGTATGTGGCAGTGGGTGATGGCAAACTGGGTATCAAAGGATGAGACAATAATATGGTGACAAAACTTCGTTTTACAGTAAACTCCTGTGCTTTCCTGGAAGT